AAACAGGCCAGCCTCCAATCTGTTGGAGAGCGAGGTCAACCTCAGGGGTGAGGCTTGTCGATGTCTCAAATGTGTTCAGATCACTGTGCTAACAAGGTGTAGTCTGGTGGTCACTGTCGATGATTGATGTGTGGTCCTCTACGGCTGTGAAGCTCCCCAAGCTCTTGCCAAACAGGACAGACATTTCCCTGCCCATGGATGACCTGTCATATCTCGCTCTATCAACAGAAGGACTCGCTAGTGCCAGGACGAGTGCCTTTAGCCACGGCTCTCAACTTCTGGCGCAGATGATCAAGGTCAATAGGATCCTGCTGGAAATCAACAACTTCAACCAGCGATGCGTCACCGAGAACCCGACCTGGGAGACTTTAAGCCACGGTGTCGACGTGCTGACGGCGCGGCTGGATGACTGGGTTGCTAATCTACCGCCGAATATGCACGATACGCCCGAGAACTTTGCCTGGTTCGCGTCGAGGGGCCTCGGACGAATATTTGCGGCGGTGTACCTCGGCTACTATCACTTCGGGCAGCTGCTGTACTACCAGTTCCTGCACGGCGCAGCCATCGACGCGCCACTATCACCAGAAGATTCCAGGGGCACCATGGCGACAGAGTCGCCGTCGGCGATGCGGCGGCAAGAATATGCGCAGAGAACCAAGGAGCATGCGGGCCGGTTATGCGAAATGGTGTATCGGTCACAGGCAACCGCGGGGGCTGATGTCCGCTATACGATGACCTCGCACGTCTTGGTTATTGCATCCACGGTGCAGATTCACACTCTTCTGTTCAGTGGCGATGAAGATGACATCGGCGTGGCTCGATCGAGGCTGGAACGAAACTTTGAGCTCTTGCTGCGACTACAGTGCTACTGGCCGACAGTCGATCGCGCCATCAGTCGTCTGAGGGCCTTCCATGCGACGGCTCGTACAAGTGTGGATTCGAGCTTCGTCTTGGATCGGTGGATGCTACGCTTCATGGTTGAGTTTGCCGAGAGCATGGAGGAGAAGGAGGCGGAAGCATGGCGCGGCGGCAGCGAGGAGATGGAGGCGCTCTGGAACCGGCAATAACGGCGGGATCGTGATGATGGACGAGATCTGAAATAATGATGGTATGGGAGACGCGTTGTCTGTTGCGTCTGTCTGCATTGGCGAATATTGCTGGAGAAAGCACATGGACAGGTTGGACATGCAGGAAGTGGAGGAGCAAAATCATGTTATTGTAATACCCAGCAATTCCTTCTGTATATCCTTTTACTGCATGCACCTGGTTATCGTTGCACCTGCCTCAGCCTCGCCTGGAATTTTCTTTCTCCCGTGACACACCTCGTGCCGTGTGCTGGATGTTCGAATACCAACATCATGTCTTTACAGGGACGACCCCATCACGCTCCACGGTGCCATCGTGAGGTCGACTCGCGTCGGCACCTTCATCCCCGGCGATCGCACCGCGTACGGTGTACGCCCCCCCGTGGGGGCCTTGGCCTGTGGAGCAGCGGAGAACTCGCCGCTGCCATTTCCCACCATCTTGGCAGTCTTCAACCCCAGGGTCTCGGTCGCCGACACGAAGGTTATCCTGCGCCTCGGCACTCCTTTGATGACTGCATTCTAGAGGTCCCGACCGACACAACGACTGCGGCACTTGCGCAGATGTGGCTTCGCCTACAGGCGTGGCGGGACGCTACAGATAGGGCCACGATCTGGCTTTCGACTAGTTGCACCATTGACGCTCGTTTTCAGAAGCACGTCGGTGTTTGAATTCCATAAAGAACGGCCAAGGATCGCCAGTCTGCAAATGAGGTCGGCCTTGCAACGAAATCATCATGGCCCGACACTCCACCATCGTCGTCGCCCTCGCTCTTGTCGGCCGAGCTGCATCACGGTTTGATGGCTTGGCCGATACCCCACCAATGGGTTGGGTACGACTCACTCCTCTCTTTCATTGCCTTCCTAGACATGGCGCATGCAGAACGCTAACGGCCACGCGCGCAGAACAATTGGAATGCTTTCGCTTGTGATGTATCGGAGCACCTGCTGCTCAGTACCTCCGAACGGGTCGTCAGCCTCGGCCTTCGTGATCTTGGCTACAACACGGTCGTGCTCGACGACTGTTGGCAGGATCCTGCCGGCAGAGATGCCAAGGGAAAGGTCCAGCCCGATCTGGCCAAGTTCCCTCGCGGCATGAAGGCCATTTCCGACGCCCTGCATGCCCAAAATCTCAAATTCGGCATGTACTCCAGTGCAGGGGAATTGACCTGCGCTCGATTCGGTGCGTGGCTGTGATAAAACAAGTTTCTTAATGCCATGATCATGTGGCGCTGATCGCAACCACAGCGGGATCGCTGGATCACGAGAGAGACGACGCGGATAGCTTCGCCGCCTGGGGCGTTGACTTTCTCAAGTATGACAATTGCTTCCATATGGGTCGCATGGGCACGCCGGAAATTTCGTTCAACCGCTTCAAGGCCATGTCTGATGCCTTGAAGGCGTCGGGCCGCGATATCGCCTTGAACCTCTGCAATTGGGGAGAGGATTACGTGCACACGGTGAGCTCAGTCTATCCAGTGTTTGCCCCGGGCCCCTCTGCAACCAGTCCCTGATCCCTGACTGGCCCCTCTCTTGGCAGATGCCAAGACCTCACGATAACTTCATCACCGGAAATCTACCACAGCACCCCGCTCAAGCTGACTCTGCTTTTTTTTCTTCACGCAGTGGGGCGCATCTCTTGCCCATGCCTGGCGCATGTCTGACGATATTTACGACTCCTTTACGCGGCCCGATGACCTGTGCAGCTGCGCCTCGGTTGCCGACCCCTTCTGCGTCGCCCCCGGCACGCAGTGTTCCGTGCTCTTCATCCTGAACAAGGTTGCGCCCTTTGCCGACCGCGCCATCCCCGGTGGCTGGAATGACCTTGACATGCTCGAGGTAGGACAGGGCGGCATGACGGACGAGGAGTACAAGGCCCACTTCGCCTTGTGGGCGGCTCTCAAGTCTCCGCTGATGCTCGGCAACGACCTCCGCATCATGGACTCCGCGGCCCTCTCCATCATCAACAACCCCGCCATCATTGCCTTGAGTCAGGACCCCCACGGCCGCGCTGTCTACCGTGTCCGCCGAGACGTCGGCCCCCCACGCGTCCCCGTCGCAGACGAGTATGCTGCACAGGAGGCCCACATATGGAGCGGCCGACTCGCCAACGGCGACCAGGCCGTCATTTTCCTCAACGCCGCCGGCGCCGATCTTGACATGAAGGCCTCCCTCGCCGAAATTTTCGTCGGCGATGGACCGGGCGGGTCGGCGCCCCACGTCCGCGTCGGTTGGTCCGTACACGATCTATGGGCACACCGCATGCCCCTCGAGACGGCCGAAGCTCTCATCGGGGCCAGTGACGACGGCGTCCGTGCCGATGTCCTCCGCGCCGGAAATTGGTACAACGCGACGGAAATACCGTATGCCCAGGGACTGGCCAACGAAGACCCGCGGCTGTTCGGCGAGAAGATTGGTGAGGTACAAGCCGGCGGCGTTCTTGAGGTCAAGGTTTTTCAAACACTCTGCGCGGGTTGTTTCGTCTCAGGCGCATCGCTGTCGAGGGCGATGGGTTCAAATCAAAGGCCCACGCGCGAGAGGACCACGAGGGAAAGGATGAGCTGTGATCGAAAGGGTGACTGAAAGACCCTGAATGGATAATTTGTTGCCGCTACGCCTGTATTCGTCTTGTTGTTGCACTCTAAATATTTTCCATCTTCTTCAAGGGTGCTTCTCTTGACATCTCATGATGGCCGATTTGGCGTTGGCTACCTGTAGCTTCGCATATACAAGCTACGCCCAACAACGCCCGCGATCAGTGTCCCTTGTCATAGCGCATGTTCGACAGAGTAATCATCATCCACGTGGACTGGCTAGTGCTAGAAATATCTGATGAGCAGCCAGAAATCAAACCGCACTGGCTGTGACGTAGAACAACAGGTGTATCAGGACACCGAAGTGGTCGTAGCAGCCTGGTAGCATCTTCATCATCTTCATCAAATACTGTATCTTCTGTGCCCTCAGTGGTTTGGAATTGTGAAAGACCCATACGCCGTAGAAATCCAAGGTGATAGCTTTCAGATTTGCTAATTGAAGTACCCGCAGTCGCTGAACCAAAATATCTGTTTCGGCCTGCAACACTGCACATCTCGAACGATCCATAGGTGCACATCAAGAAGCGACATTTCAGAAATAACGCGATAGCAATAGCAATGGAAGCCCTGCCCACAATTATGAACACTTCGTACCTCTATCCTTACAAAACGGTCTACTAGGAGCGCTGTCTCATCACACAAACTACAACTTCACAGCCTCACCACTTGCTGGAAGTGCCGGTTGCTGTAACTTGCGTTCCTGTGGTTTTAGTAATCGGCCTGTTACCCACGCCACGTTGGAATTCGGACCTACTCTTTATTCAACCGAGCATGTCCCGTCGGGAGCCATTTGGTATTTCACCAGCCTAAGTACGGTTACATCGTGCTGCACATGAGACTTCGCTGCGCATGTTTTTCCGAACGTTGCATCCGAGCAGACGGAAACTTTCCCGATACTACCTCTCATTCCAGCAGCAACAGACATACACGCACCATCATACTGTGCACTTTGGTATCCTGGTAATGACAGTCAAGCAATCATGTGCTTCATTAACTACTAAATCTACATGTTGAGTCGCCTTCGGGCGCACCTTACACAAGGTACCTGAATGTCGAAGGCAGCCTGGTGGGATCATCCTGAGCGAGCTCAGCCGTCTGCGCTGCGACATCGCCGTGCGTCTCCCACGCGGCGCCGCCCTGCTCAATCTTCTTGTTGAGGTTGACGAGCACGACGCGGAAGCCGTAGCAGCCGACAATGGTGACGCCGAACATGGAGAGCACAATGCCGTAGCTGCCGCGGAAGCCGTTGGCCTCGAGGTTCCACACATAGGAGCCGATGATGTTACCAATCTGAGAGAAGGCGTTGATCATGGCGATGGCGACGGCACGCTTGGCCGGAGGCCGGGGGAAGGAGGACGAGATCCAGGAGTAGAAGACGATGAAGCCAGCGTAGGCTCCAGCCTGGAGGAAGAGGGCGACGTAGCGGGCGGCGACGTTGTCGGTGGCCATTGAAATGACGAAGCCGACGATACCCATGCAGATGGGGCCAGACAATGTGCCAGAAACGCTCTTGTTGGCGATCGGCGTGCCACGCGTTGATGAGAGAGACGATGCAGGCGAAGGCCCACGGCGGGGAGCTCATGAGCAGGGTGGGGACGTATCCAAAGCCGAGAGTACCAGTGAGGGTAGGCTGCAAGGGGTTAGGACGTGCGGTTCGTAGTCGAGGTGCAGATGACGCGGTGGTGACTTACGAAGTAGGCGTTGAACGACAGACCGATGACGTAGGTGGTGAAGGTGATCATCATGAGGTAGATCTTGTAGTCCTTGACAGCCATGTAGAAGCCATCTAGGGCGCCCTGCTCGGCAGAATCGGCATCTGCCTCGCCAACGTCCTCCGTCATGCGCATTTGAGCGACCTGAAGCTCCTCTTCGGTGAAGCCCTTCGAGTTGTGGGGCAGATCGGGGAGAATGAAAGCGGCCGCAATGGCAATGGCCATGGTGGCAGCGCCCTCGACTGGACGAATTGTTAGCTGGAAAGCTCTCAATGCTTGATTGAACACGAGTCTGAAGACTTACTCCAGAAAAGCCAGCGCCAAGCAGCGTGGCCCAGAACACCCTGCATGTTGGACAGCACACCGGCACCAATGAGCGCCGAGAAGGCGTTCGAGATCAAGTTTCCGCAGAAGAGAATGGCGTTACGCTTGGTGAGCTCACGGCTGGTGTACCACTTCGAGAGGATGAGAAGAGCTCCAGGCAGGAATGCAGCCTCGACAAAGCCGAGGAAGAATCGCGTAGCAACCATGCCTCCGAAGTTGGTGACGACACCAGAAAGGGTAGAGATGAGACCCCACAGCAGCATGGCTGCCGCAATGTACCAAGAGGGTCTGTCGATGCGGTTGATAAGAATATTGGAAGGGACCTGCATCAGAATGTATCCGACGTAGAGGATACTCAAACACGTCGCGTACTGCGAGTAGTTGAGGTTGAGGTCGTCCTGCAGACCACGGAGACGGGCCGCTGCGATGTTGTTCCTGTCGAGATAGTTCATGATATAGATCAGAACGAACAGGGAACACCACGTGTCGAGCTTGCGCTTCATGCTCTTCTCAACCTTGGCGCGATAGATTGGGTCAGAAAGAGGACCACCGCCCTTGGGGGGCCCGTCGGCGAGACCTTTGTCGGAAGACCTGCGAGGCGCGGCCTCGAGGTGATCGGGGTCGTGAACAGGCCCATTGTGGGCATCTACCTTGGGTGCGTCGCTCATGTTGGGATCCGAAGAGCTGAGGTAGGAGGAAAAGAGAGAGGTAAGAGACGGAACGGCTGATCAGAAGAGGCTGGCCCGACAGGAGGGGGATCGTCCTCTCATATAAAGCGTTGAGTGGCGGACCAAAGTACCATGAGTGTTACCCTGGTTTTAGCGGCCAAATCCCCATGGAGCCAGGAACAAAGCGGCCTATATGACGTGGAGAAGATGTTGGAGAGAGGGCGTGGGGGTTCCTCATCGTGATGCCTCAGATTTTGACGGACTGGCGGGTTGGTCCCGGAAACTAACCCCTGGGCTGACAAGCACGATCCATGGTCAGGTTCTCGCGATGGGGTTCAACGAAAAACAGGGGGCCCCGCTAGTCTCCGCAGGCTATTGTTTGGGATGGGAAGGAATGGTGTGGGAAGCAGCGAGCGCCCTCAGAGGTGCTCCTCTCTCCCACGCCGCTGTAGCGTGTATGAAGTGCCGGACCATGTCGCCATGCTTCCCCGCGTAGTCCGTCTCCTTGCGGCGGGCTTATTCTCGTGTTGGGGGGATAGGAGGGGGCCGCTTGGGGCAAATGTTGGGGGTCAAATGGGGCGAACGTGGAGAACCCCCACGCCCTCAGTCTCCAATAACTTGTCCTGGAGATGCAAAATTTGTCAAGCTGGACAAACAGGCCCGCAGTGATGAAGATGTTTTCGAGAAATTGATCACGTTGCATCGTCTCGTAGCACGTTCCAAAAAAGGACGGCGTCGGTGCTCCTCCTGGGCGGATGGCCCGATATCCTGCTCATCCTGCTCGTCATGCCGGTCATAGTGCTGTCGTCTCTACATGGAGGGATCGGCACTTCAGCCCTGGACACCTGATCTCGTGGCCAGCGGCGTTGCCCAGTTATGCTTGATTTTGCGGGCAGTTGCTGTGTGGGGTTCTTCCCTGTCGCTGGACGTTTCTGGCATCCGCTGTATGCAGGAGTCGGGGTATTCGGGCAGTTTTGTCGGGGTAAGTTGCGCGGAAACCTTTGCATCCCTGGCTCACTGAAGGGTGCACGCCACTGAGCCACCCACACCGGATGACGTTGGTGGACCGATCCCTGTCGACCTGGAGCTCCTGACAAGCAGCGAAGCCTGCTTCACCTGGACACTACGTAGCGAGGTTACAGCTCAGAGGTATGAGACTAAAGTTCAACCCCCCTAATCCGGAGAAACCTCGGGGGGGGGGGGGTAATAGCATGCACAATTCAAGGTGCACGGGCCCTATACAGTACGTACAGTATAATTTAAGATATTAATATCTTTAGAATTAAGGGTATGTAAGATATATATATTAGTATATACTAGGCATATGCTCAGCATATGCCCCGAGGAGTTAGATTCCTAAGGTAGGTGAGGCATATGCCTAGTATATACCTAGCATATGCCCTGAGGAGTTAAATTCCTAAGGTAGGTAAGGCATATGCCTAGTATATACCTAGCATATGCCCTGAGGAGTTAAATTCCTAAGGTAGGTAAGGCATATGCCTAGTATATACCTAGCATATGCCCTGAGGAGTTAAATTCCTAAGGTAGGTAAGGCATATGCCTAGTATATACCTAGTATATGCCCTGAGGAGTTAAGTTCCTAAGGTAGGTGAGGCATATGCCTAGCATATGCCTAGTATATGCATAGCATATGCCTACTATATACTAATATATATCTATTAATTCTATTATAAGGATTTTTTTTTTTAAAAAAAAGTCGAGTACAGTATATACTTATATTATTACTATGGAGTTATGTAATTTACATAAAATTATGCTAACTACCCCCCCCCCCCGAGGTTTCTCCGGACTAGGGGGGTTGAACTTTAGTCTCATACCTCTGAGCTGCGACCCGCTACGTAGCATCTGTTGAGCCATGAGTCGGCACATCTCCGGCATGGCCGGCTAGGCGAGTTGAGCGGTCAATCTCGAACAGGCCCGATCCCCGCTCCGCAGCCACGCCGTCGCCTTTTGCCGAGGGCTTGAGGGCTCTAGAAGCTGTCTAAGTGGGCTCGGAAGTCGGATCTAATGCCGGAAGTCGTGGGCTTGGTGGACGCTTCTCGGTGAAACTTGACGGGGAATGCAGGTTCGTGGGGGTCAGGCGGGGGTCCTCAGCTGGCGTTTTGACTCGCGTGCTGTGCATCTAGCCAACGTGCTTACTGGAACAACGCTCAACCGGCGGCCAATGTTGCCTGTTTGCGTCAACCCCGAGAAGACTCTTTCTCGCCAAGACGGGGTTTGGACCTTACATAGTGCCCATTGATCCGTCGGATGGGAGGATGACCTGGTAAAAAGTATGTTGAACCTTCGAGGCACCCGGGATGGATAAAAGATGCATGTCCACGGCGGCCAGGCTGCAAGCCGGAGAACTAAAAGTGTTGAGTTGGTTTGCTATGGGGGACACATTCGGCCGTTACGCCAGTAGGAGGGCATATCCGACAAAGTGTCGACGCACTTTGTTGGTGATCCTGAACCTGATCGAGTGACAAGCATGAAAGAGAGTCTCGGAATATGACACGTCCCCGACATCCAGGTAAATGGATAGCCCACCCCCGCCAAGTGAAAACCCGAACAAACCCGAATCTGAGGTAGGCTCGCATCGCCTACGAGCCCCTCTACAGCGATCATGGATGCGATGGGTAACCGGGGTTGGCTGGGTGCATGCATCTCTTCTTCGTGTTGCTTTCTTGTCTTGTTTCACCGAGCAGTCAGGTCGGATGCAGTGCGACAAAGCTTGACGCATGAAGCACTAGGAGCAAAAGGACGACTCTCAACGGCTGACTCGTGATTTAGCCAATGGTTTGGATGATGAAACCATGGAGCTAGATTAAGTTGTGGGAGAGATCGCACATCGTCGTGTTCGCAGTTGTAGTCGTGGGGGACGGCGTTTCAGAAAGCGTCAAGCCACTGGAAGTCAGCCTTATGAGGCGAACATTCGCCGCCTCAGCCACCGAGGGCGACGTACTGGTTCATCCAGCAAACCCAAGCCGCTAAACCTGTTTGAGCCTGCTTGTCGTCAGCCTCAGATCAAACATCGACATTGATCCCAACGACATTACTACGGGCGACATCGCCAATTCACCAAGCTTTGTTGCCACCAGATGGAATCAATCATTTCTTGATCATGAATCGATATCGCGACGATGCAGATGCAGAGGTCGAGCCTCTACTTGAGGATGATGTCGGAGACTTCGCCCTGTTCGCCGATGTTGAGGCGGAAGACGAGCCCTGGATTGCCTCGCCATCAGTAGCATCGCGGGGTCGCACGCGATGGCAGTCCGAGTGGACCACCTGGAAGACTGCGGCATGTGAGCTCAACGTTAATCGTTTCCGACCAGACACGCCCTTTGCTATCGTCCTGCTGCTTGCCACCATCAAGGGTATCCTCATCGCCAGCGGGGTCCTGCTCATGACACCCATGGTTCGCCTGATGGAAGACGCCATTTGCCACGTGCACTACCACAAGGACGTCTCCGAGCCGATTGATGAGAAGGACTGCAAGGTTGATGATGTTCAGTCTCAGTTGGCCTACCTGGGTGGCATCGGGGCCCTGGTGGCGTCCCTTGTCACGCTAGTCGTCGCTTTTCCATATGGTGTGTTGGCGGACAGGTGAGTTCGACCGTCCTGTTCACATGCATGGTGCTTTACTGACAACTGTTCAGGATGGGTCGTAAGCCGGCTTTCTTTCTCGCCTATGTGGGGATTCTACTTGGATTCGGCTGGGGCCCGTTCGTCCTCTCACTTTCGCACTTCCCAAGCATTTGGGTCCTCCTCTTAGGGCATGTCTTCTTCCTGATTGGAGGCGGTGTGCCCCTTGCCATCAACAACATTTATGCCATGGCTGCAGATGTCAGCAACGAAGCCAACCGGTCGACTCATTTTCTGTACCTCTCTGTAGGCGCCGTTATCGCGGGACTTTTTGTGCCTCTGCTGTCCGGCTTTCTGCTAGAGACATACGGCCCATGGGTCCCAATCCGCATCGTCTTTTGCCTAAGTCCAGTCATTCTCACAGCTGCTAGTCTCCTGCCCGAGACGTTACGCGTCAAGTTGCCTGATGGCGACGCCATACCTGAACCGACTAAGCCTTTCGTGGCAACCGTCAAGGACCATGTCCGCACATCTCTTGCCGAGCTCGCCAGCGCCAGAGTTTTGCTCCGCAACCGCAGCGTTCTCTTCTGCCTCTTGGCACCCTTGACTGCTAGCACAATGTTTACTTCTAGTTCGTCGACTCTTTCTCAGTACATCAGCAAGTACTTCTCCTGGTCACTCGCCCAGACGTCCTATATCCTCTCACCCATCGCCCTGTGCCACCTCCTCGTTCTGACCGCCCTGCCACGTCTGTCGGCCCACCTCCTCAAGCCTCGCCGTCGTCTGCGGCTCAACGACTTTACGAAGGACCTCCTTTTGACCCGTGCCTCGTATGGCATCCTTGCAATCTCGGCATTCTTGCAAGCCGTCAGCCCATCCATCGTGCTATTTCTTCTGGCTATTGCACTCGGCACACTCGGCTCCGCAACGCCGCCGTTGGCACGCGCTCTCATCACGGCATTTGTCGAAAAAGAACACACCTCGCGCCTCTATGCCATGTGTAGCATCGTCGAGACACTCGGAGCCTTCATCGGTGGACCAGTCCTGGCATGGACATTTTCAGCGGGAATGCAATTGGGCGGCATCATGAGGGGACTGCCCTGGCTCTATGTCTCTTTTTTGCACGTATGTGCCATGTCGGCATTCATGATGGTACGCGAACCGAAACACATGAAGCCGCCGGTGCAAACGGAAAGCGGCGAGGAAGGGGTTGACGGCATGGGGTATGAGTCTGCAGCAGAGGACGAGGAGGATTTCGCCGCTCGGTAGACCTGTCGTGTACACATCGTTCTCTGAAGCCTTGGCAGGTGGAATTTCGTAGAAGAGAGCTGGTTCAGATTGTTGGTTTGCATGATCTTAAAATTTGGGAGCCCTGTATAGCGCGTCCCCGGTTCGTTGTCTCCATCACTAGATTAGAATCCCAAGACGTCAGAAGGCGCACTGCACACAGCTCATGACTGATAACCCACCGAGGCCCGGGATATGGATCAGCTGCGTGATTTCTTTGAACCTGGCTGGCCGTGATTTCCTCTCGGATCTTCCTTCTCGGCCAGACACACATCGGGGTGCATACGTTGACACAATGACACGGTGGAGCGTCATCCAGACGATGCAGTTGCTCTTGAGAAAAATGGAAGCGTCACAAGGGAGGAGCGAACACCGCCGATGAGGAGGAATCATGTGCAACAGAAACGCAAGAGTGGAGGAGACTTGATACAGCCAGCATTTGAAGCATTACCTATCCAACCCGCTAAGCCCCCCCCCCTGCCGGTTTCAAACCACCATGCTCCACAATGTCAATCATGGCCTTTGTCAAAGATGCCTGGATGAACCGTCCTCCCTCTCCGCACACGCGGCAGCCATAACACCAAGGCCTCAGCCCAGCATGAACAGCCACGGGATGCCCATGAACGTGACAATGGCAAACATGCAAAAGATGACCTGCCAGTCGGCGACGGTCGCATCCGCCGTCAGCGACGTGGGGAACCCGGCAATGTTGCCCTGGGAGAAGTTCCTGGCGGCTTCGGCAGCAGCGACGGTTGTCAGGTTGCCGCAGGCGGCGTTGAGGGCGGCGTCGGCCGTCATGGGCGGCAGCGCGACAACCATGGCGGCGAGGAAGTTGAGGTTCTGGTGGGTGCCAAAGGGCGACGCCTGGATGAAGGCCGAGCGCAGCGTGATGTTGGAGCCAATGGTGGAGAAGTTGGCGGTGCGGGAGTACTCGATGCACTGGGGCTGGGCGAGCGGGTTGCCGGCCGGGGCGGCGTCTTGGCGGGCGATGACGACGGCGTCGGCGGTGTCGGTGAGGAGTCGGCCGGCCGAGACGGCGTTTGTTAGGCACAGGGCCAGGAGGAGGCGGGCGAGGAGGAGCCGCATGGTGTACATTATGACAGAGCTAGGAATATGGTGATAGAATTGAGAGCGTCGTTCTGCTTGTTGTTGCTGTCGTCGGACTGCGAGATTGTGGCACGTAGTTTCGCTGAGCGTCAGGAGGGTATTCAAGGAGAGTCGCAAGTCAAGGAGAGTAGCCGGCCACTCGAAAGTCGAAAGGTTGAAGAAGAATGAAAGAAGGATGAATGAAGGACAGCCCGGCCGTCAGAGTTGAGAAAGAAAGGCAAATGGAGGAGAAGCAACGACCGAAATCCAGCAGACAGACCAGCAGTGCCACGAGGAGGACCAAGGTCGCAGGCGAAGGGGCCCATTCTGTATTATAAACCGAGCATAGCCATCACGAGACGGCGCGCCGGCGGTTGTTTGAATGGTGGTTTGAAAGCGCCCTGAAGCTCAGGCGGGGGCTGGCGCTGTGACAGGTGCCCCACAGTCGTGAGACCCGATGACACAGAGGCGGCCCCCCTGGCTCGCAGATCAGACCGTCTCACAGACGTTTCAACAGGCATCGGGCGACGATGCTACGCTGCTTCAGACGATCGGGCGCCTCCATTGCTCACCAGCGGGGGAGGGTAGAGGAAACTTTCCGTCTTTGCGTTTGCAGGGTCGTTGATGACCGGGCCGACGCCCCTGGGCTGTCGCATCGAAGCGACACGGTGAATGTCTGGGCCTTTGGATTCATGTCGTGATAAGAGTGGGTGTATCCCAAAGCTGCAAGTACAAATATCCGACATCGTCCCATTATCGGCCGATGTTCATCTCGTGCTCATTCTTGTTGTGCTCATTCTTGTTGTGCTCATTCTCAATTAGTGAGAGCCTCCGTAGTCGTTCAGAGGGCACATGAGCTTGGGATGACTCCTTCTTGGCCAAGTTCGAAGATATCAGACTATTGATTACCTCGTGCGAACCCGGTGATGGATACGAGTGATCAGCGCTCGCTCTGCCGGCTTCGGGGCATGACTGTCACTATAAGTAGGTAGGCTCTCAGGCACTAAAGGTCCACTGGAGTGACTTGCGTCGGTGGACCAGGCACCTGACGTACCTACAAAACTGATGGCTACCCGCGCAGCACCTGCAACCACCTCCAATTTCATTGGAGCTTGTATGACAATTCCGCTTAGGGTTTCCAAGTAGTGTCACTTGGATGTTTGTATGGTTCCTGATGCTGTACTTACTGGCTGACATGGCGTAGTCGTGTGAACACAGGCCTAGTACCTCCTGGAGCTGCCCTCTTGGAGGGCTTGTCGAACCAGAAATACACCACAATCGACTGCCATTCTCCATAGGCACCGTAGGTAGAGACTGAGACCAACACATCCGTCTCCTCCTCGACAACCGTTACAAATATATTCAGGCCACCGGCTCGCGAATCTGCCCCGCGACAGTGACCCCCTGTTTCCCCACCCCTCTTCTTCCACCTTTACCGATGTTTGTCCCAAGAACAGTGTCATCGGTACTCTTCTCTGTGGTTTACAGTGTGGGCAATGCTCCCTCCCTTCGGATTTGCCACAGGGATGCAGGCTCGACCACCTGGCAGGGCAAGTTTAACAGGTGAATAGCATCGCCGTGCGACGACACTTGGCCCCGAATTCTCTCCTTTTTGGTCGTGACGGAACACGAATGGATCCGCGACGCAGCTTGCTCCCATCCCTCCTCGACCCTACGGCTTATCTCGTGATCCCACGTGCCGCGCCAGGTGAGAAATGCGCAGCCGTGCTTCGCTTGGAATATGAAAGCGCACGCATTCCCTCTGGCGCCGTTCCAGAGCACCAAGGTACGCAACTTAGGCATCCGTACTGCTACCTCGCTGGCTTTGAGTAGGAGATCATTGATCTCTTGGTGGGGCGTTTCTTCCTGGAAGAGTCGAACTGTCAGGGCCAGAGTCTCTAAGCGGCGCCAGGCCCCGAGTTGCTTGATGCAGGAATCAAAGAAGTCCCCGGCGTCGACCAAGAAGGACGCGGAGAGACGCTCAAGTTTGCGGCTTTTAGAGGCAAAAATAGCACCCAAAACCGGATCTGCGATCCGGTGGCGGGCCACACTGCTGTGCCAGGCCACGCTGTCGTTGCGGACCAGTGCCTCCGCGATTTTCTCGTTGAAATCTTCAAACACAGTCAATGTCTTGACTGTTGCAGGGAGACTCTGCTGGAACAGTAGGCTATGTTCTACCAAGTAATCCGTTAGCGCAAGTACGCAGCACGGCGTCTCAAAATCCATGGATCTCGGCAGGCATGAAGATGACAACTCACCCATATCGGCTCTGCTCGCCCGCAAATTCTCCCACCCCCGCCACGGCTCGTACACCATGTGCCGTAGACCAGGAAGGCTATCCAATATAGGTTTTAATGACCAGTAATTGAGCCTTCGACGTAAGTGTCGGCGTACGATGAGGCGTGTCACAACCTCGGCGCGGGGGAGCTTCTGCTGACCGAAATTGAGCGTAATCTGTTCGAAAAGGCCGGATATGGCTGATCTGGTTGGAGGTCCAAAACTGTAGCGATCGAACCATCTATGAAGTGGATGATGCCACTTGGGATGAGAAGCCCCAGAACCGACTTCGCCCTCGTGGTCGGTGGCGAAATAAAACCCCTTGAAGAAACGGTCCTGGTCGCTTGGACGATGCGCGTGTAGCTCCAGAGTCAACCCTCTCCCTGGCTTCCATTTACTGAGGATTGAAAATATCTTCCGGATTGCGCTGACGATGAGAGGTCCGTTTTGTTGGGAGAACTGGTAATGCGGACATGTGTTGTTCTGTACGACAACGTTGAGCCAGATGTGGCGGACGAAATCTCGTTGCAAAGTAATGAGTCGTCCAAAACTCTCTAGACAGGATGAGCGGAGTTCCAGTTTACGGAGGTTTTTCGTCGCGATAATGTACTGCCATTCTCTGCATACAGAGGCAAGTGTCGACCAGCCAGGATGCTCGTAGCGTGCAAATGTCTCCAGAATAATGATGCGAAGTTCAGTCGGCAAGCAGAGCCAGGAGCCGATCTTGGTCCGCGTATAAAGTCTCGTGTTGTAGCGTCTTGTGACGACGCATCCTGTCGCCATGTTGGTTAAGCTGTTTCGCGCGTGAGGGCTGCCAGTGTGGGAAAGGCAATCCTCCTCAGGTGTAAGGGCTACGTTCGAAGTCCTAGTGAGGATTTCACGAGGGCTGTTTTCCGCAGATAACGGAAGGGGAAGTAGCAGCTGAACTTTGGCCTGAACGCGAAGAATGGCGGGCCCGGTGTTTTATATATACAGGAGTGTAATCGAGGACCCCAGCTTGGCTTCACACGATCTCCGTGGCTTAATTTGACCACTCTTACCTCTATGCCCAGGTGGTTTCCTGGGGACCATTGTGACCATGGCTTGCAAGAAGCTTCGTTGTTACTTACAGACGCATTTTTTGACTTTCCGTGACGCTAGGGTATTGTATCCTGATTATCATGATCCCCTGATGGCTGTGAGTCACCATCGTCCAACTCAATTATCGGCATGACCTTGAGCACCTTGAGCGCATTAAACTTAGAATCACAAAGGTGTCTACATCCATGAGAAATTCTCAGTCTCGCCCACGATATAGTCGGGTTAGCCATGCGCGGTCCACAATCAACACCGCACTTGATGATATGATGGCATCCGGCCGGTCAGGCTTAGTGTTAGGCAAACCATGGTTGTCACGGCCAATTGCGACGCTATGAACGGTTCTGGTCAAGATGAAGCGACCGCCCCCCCCCCCCCCAAAAAAAAAAAAAGTTTGATCTGCTCGAGTGCAGACTCTCAATCCCATCAACTGCGTCTCTGAACGGGCAGCCATTTGTCGATGGCAAGCAGGCTTGTCCAAGCAGCCACCCCCCACCAGGGATTTACCCCACCACGCACTTACCCCCACAAAGCCAAGCTTGCGACGACCCCGCAGCTCTTCGCTTCTCGTCACGACCGAGACAAGCTTTGCTCAGTGACATAACTATGCGGCGGTCTCAATTTCTTGAATGTCAGCGCATCACAGCACGGGCTCGTTCCTCGCTTGACAGAATTGGAGGCCCCTCCCCTCACTACATCTCGCAGCTGTCATGCGTCGTCACCACTGCGCATCGGCTACGTGCCCGAACACTCTCCGCCCCCTTGCACTTCGCCCAGCAGCACTATGGCCTCGAGGCTACGCTGGTGCCCTTCACCTCCGGCACAGGCCACATGATCACAGCTATTCGCGGCGATGAGATTGACATTGGCATCGGCCTCACTGAAGGCTGGATCGCGGGTCTCGGGAAGGAGGGCGTCGAGGGCGACGGCGGATACCGTCTCGTTGGCACCTACGTCGATACACCTCTCTGTGAGTTCCCTTTGTGATCTTTGCCCAGTCACCCGACACTCCTCTGCGTTGGATCGTGTGCGCTCCAGGGGATCTTCTAACGCGCATCAGGCTGGGCCATCTCGACAGGTTCCTCCCGCCCCGAAATCGCCTCCGTCTCCTCCCTCCGAAGCAAGCGCATCGGCGTCTCCCGCATCGGCTCGGGCAGCCAAATCATGGGCTTCGTCCTCGCCGACAGCAGGGCTGGCTCGGATCGTCAGACGCTGCGCCTTTCTCCGACACGGTCATCCTCAATACTTTTGCCAACCTTCGAGACGCTGTCAACAAGGGCGACGCCGATTACTTCATGTGGGAGCACTTCACATCCAAGAAGTACTACGACTCGGGCGAGATTCGCAGGGTGGGAGAGATCTACACCCCGTGGAGCAGCTGGAAGATTGTGGCGTCAACAGCGCTGGCTGCTGAGGGCGCCTTGGACCCGAGGGTGAAGGATCTGTTCGGAAAGCTCGACAAGGGAATTGTGCATTTCAACGAGAACCAGGAGGAGGCTGTGCGGTGGATCAGCACGAACCTGGACTACTCCGAGGCTGACGCGAGGGAGTGGCTCAAGACAGTCAAGTTTACGGCGGGTGTTGAGGGCGTCAAGCCCGAGGTGGTGAACAACTGCGTGGACATTTTGAGGAAGGCGGGTGTCTTGGCCGAGGGCAAGGGAAGGCAGCCTGAGCAGATGGTCATCAGGGAGGTATCATGATGTGCACGGGATTTGAAGATTGTTCGGCGTGTCCCTACGTCGTGTCTATGGTCGGATCTCTACCAGCTCTGTCTTGCTCGTTTTCCCGCACGCTCAGAAGTCTCATGGCTAAAAGGTTACTTCGTCTGTGGCGTCGCGCACCCTCTGCATTTCTTTTTTCAAGTCCTCTGGCGTCGCGGCTCCCACGGCCACGTCCGCTAGGCTCGTTCCAGTGTCACGATCCTGATACCAGCTG